TAGGCCGTTTTGCAAAGCTACCAGTTGGTTGTTTGGGTTCTAGGCCTATCGACTGCCACAGTGATTAAGGCCCTCAACGTATTGAGACTTCTCATTGTTACGGAGGATGCGTGCGGCTGGAATAATTAAGTGAGCGGCACTTGATTGATTGTTGTGTGGCTGTGCAGCTTAGAGGGAACACTGACCACCTCCTATGAAAAAAAGAAAGAAAAAATATAACGAATGATGAATGAATAAAATTAAATGAAAAATGTTGGCAAGTGAATTAAAAGAAAAAGAAAAACTATTGTTGTTTTTCAACAGTTTATGGTGTCATTGAATTCTTTATGATTTTTGAAGCTGAACAGAATGACAGCAGATCTACTAAATGTGTTGAATATCAATGGATAATCACTAATGTTTAATGTAAATACCCACACCAGACGAAATTCATACAATTGTTTTTCAATAGCGCATGTTATAACTGCGGATTGACGTACAGATAATATGGCAGTTGGTGACATAAGCAAGATAAAGGAAACACTATAAATATTATTACAGAGGTGACTTGAGGTGTAGTACCAAGGGTTTTTACTCATAAAACATTTTTGATGCTATACTGCATCTCCTGTGTAAGTGATATTTAGTGCTTAATAATCCTGGGTATGTCTGAATACTGGTAAAACTTTTAAATTTAGCCGGTTTCATTTCCGTGACCTGTAAAATGGTCCAAGACCTTCCAAGGTTGGTCTCAATACCTACAACACTATAACTTGAGCTATATGCTTGTTTTGTTTGGCATATTTAATAGATAGACAAGGTTCAAAGAACAGTAAAACAATAAATTTAAATCGAAAACTGTAAACTGTCATGAGATTCAGGCTGTTCAGGATAAAATAAAAAACTTGTGATGTTCATTTAGGAGGTTCTAGAAATTATGTAAGTAAAATCTAAAAACTGTCAGATGAAAAATAGTATTTTTAATCTAAACATGTCAGCCTAAGTTTTTAGTAAAAATATTTAATTAAAACATTTGATTTTTTTGTGTACAAAAGACTTGTAACATGTACTAAGAAGTTGCATCTAAATTTACAGTATGTATAGTTTCATGGTGGTTAAAGGGTTGGTCAAAATGACTGAGTTCATGTAAAGAGAGTTAAGTACGTTTTGTGGTTGTAATTGTATCGGCTATAATACTTTCAGTTTAGGGTGCACCTTTTAATACATCTAAAATTGATTCCTTAGATTAACTGCCAAGATTTTTTTCAATCTATTTCTTTATGTCTGGTTCAATTAACAATTCAATTACCTAACTAGAGATGTAAAAGTTATACACATTATATAATTCTATATGTACAAGTACAATGAAATTGTTGAATAACAGAAACAAATAGTGTTTTCTATAGTATTTTGTAACAGTATATGAAGTGATTTGTTTTAAGTATATCTTCAACAATAATAGTTATTATAATAAAACATTGTGTAAAAGTATAGAAAGTCTTTAGATACAATTTAAACGAGAATTGAAAACCTGGATGCACAAAAATAATTTTAAGGTGATATTTTCATCAACAAAAAATAACTGCATGACTATATCACCTTTTCTGAAATGCCACCAAGTATGATTTGGGCATAATGTTTATGACGAATAATTATTTGAGTACATTTCCTTTTTTCAATACTTTTCAGTATGACTTAGATATTGTGATTAAGATATTAATGCTAAAAGTATTACAGTAGAATGTATAAACAAAAAAATTGATAATTTTTAATTGTTTATTCACTAAAAGTTGGAAAGTTTTGGAAACATACTTTATTATTAATAATTTATTCTTTTTGAACATTAAAGTTTTTGACAGTCTGTTTTTAAAGATGTTACAGAAATAAAAAATATATCTTAAAATATTAGGGAAGTCAAAAAATATCCTAACTTCTTTAAACAGGGATCTCAATAGGGTTCCATAGGTAGAATTTAATAAACTCAAAAAACAAGGGAAAAGGCACTTCAATGTAAATGAAAAACTTTATTTACAATGTACACTGCATGTTTACCTCCTGCAAGTGGAACAGAGCATGTTAATGTTCAATGAGAAACTTTATTTACAATTTAAACTGTATATTATTTCCCTTTTTGAGTGTAAAGTAATTTTCATGATAAGATTAAAAGTACATTTCTTCATCTAAAAATTTTCAAATATTATTTGCATAACCCCTAAAACATCCTAAATAATATCTTTTTTTTTCTTTTCAGAAAAACTATATTTTGTCAGTTATTTTCTTTACCCTAACTTTATATGAGGCTGGTTGATTTGACCAACCTTGTAACCACCATAAAAAATTAGGAAATAATTCTAAATTTCCACTATTTTCTTTGTGGAATGACTGCAAATTGTAACAGAAAACCACAATTGTTTATCCTAAATAGTTTAAAGCTTGTAACAGTATACATCTGTTTATGCTTAAATTTTATTGTTTTATTGAACCATGTCTAACTACTATTCATGTCGTATAAATAGCAACTCACGTGGCAAATGTGTAGCTTACATTATGGTATCAAATTAAAAAATGCACAGACTACTCACAAGCATACCTCATAAAAAAATTATTATTAATAATAAT